GAATAGAATAGAATAGAATAGAATAGAATAGAATAGAATAGAATAGAATAGAATAGAAGGGCTAGCAGGGACCTTGGAGGACCAGCCTCCTACTGAAGGCATGAGACCCTATAGCATCCTGGATAAATACTGTAAAAAAATAAAATCATAACACAAAAGAAAATAAAAGCACCTGGAAACAACCAAGCCAAAATACACTTGGAGGAAACGAAAGTGGGTTGGCCTCCCTACACACACACACACACACACACACACATAGACAAACACGCACAGTAAAAGAATGCCAAACACCAACTACAAGTGAAGATCAATTCAGTAACCAAATCCTGTTGCTTGCTAAATGTTGCTCACACATACACACAGGTCTTATTTTAGAACTTTCCTGCCTAGCGGAGAAACAAATGCTGGAAATAAGAGCCTGGTTTGCCCCGCTACCCTCCACCTCCGCCCCCCACCCCCGCAAAAAAAAGTCACACACTTGCTCTACTCTGCATCTCCAAACCAGAAAAACTGCGTGGAAACAGGAAATTGCACTGAATTAGTTATTCTATTCAGCACAGGGGCCCATGGATAATAATAATAATAATAATAAAAAGCAAACCTTTTTCCGGCTGAAGCCAACCAGCAAGTCAGCTGGGATTTTGACACATCAGCTGATAAAACCGCTGAAGGGAGGAACCGGTCAAAGGCGGCCTGACTCCTCCCTTCCGTGTCCTTGGGAAAAACCCATCCCCCCCCCACTTCTAAAAGCAACTGGGAGTTCAAGGGCAGCGTTGCCGCCCCCTGCTGGAGAAACGTGGATCCATATCTGTTTAACATCTGCCTGGCAATCCATAGAGAACGTAGAATTATAGGATTGGAAGCAGAGGTGGTAATTCAGCTGGTTCTGACCTGTTCTGGAGAACCGGTAGCGGAAATTTTGAGCGGTTCGGAGAACCGGCCAATCCCACCTCCGACTGGCCCCGCCCACATCTATTCTCCGCCTCCCGTTGAGTCCCAGCTGATCGGCTGGGTTCTTCTTTGGTTGCCCTGCACAGGAGAACGGAGCTGGAAAGCAGGTTAGTGGGGTGGGGAGGGAAGGGGGATTTTGTAGTATCCTCCCCCTGCCACACCCACCAAGCCACGCCCATAGAAATGGTATTAAAAAAATTTTGAATCCCACCACTGGTTGGAAGAGACCTTGGGGGACTTCTAGCCCATCCTTCAGCTTATGCAGGAGACTTCATTCCAGACAAAGGGCTGTCCAAATTTAAAAAGATGTTATTAAAATTACACATTAAAACTATACATCTAAATTTATTTGTTTGTTTGTTTGTTTGTTTTAGTTTATCAAGCATGTATGAGAAAACAAGTATAAGTATGAACGTAACACATAAACATATAAGTATAAACAGGTATAATCGGTATATACATGATAAACGTGTACGAATAAATGGGAACCGTAGGACAGAGACGGTAGGCACACTGGTGCGCTTAAGCACACCCCGTTACAGGTCTCTTAGGCATGGAGCGAGGTCCACGGTAGACAGTTTAAGGTTAAAGTTTTTTGGGGGGGTTGAGGATGTAACAACAGAGTCAGGTAGTGAATTCCAGGTGTTGACCACTCTGTTGCTGAAGTTGTGCTTTCTGCAATCGAGTTTTGAGCGGTTTACTTTGAGTTTGTATCTATTGTTTGCCCGTGTGTTATCGACGTTGAAGCTGAAGTAGTCATTGACAGGTAGGACGTTGTAGCAGACAATTTTGTGTACTAAGCTTAGGTCAGACCATAGGCAGCGTAGTTCTAAGTTGTCCACGTCCAAAATTTCAATCCTGTTGGCATAAGGAATTTTATCGCGAGCCGAGGAGTGACACAGACATCACCAATGCTGCATCGCTTATCCCAGACCAGAGGGAGGAGAAAGCTTTCCCTGTTGAATTTCTGCCACAATCACCAATGTAGTCTAGATCCAAAAGCGGAGAAGCGGGGTGGGGGAAATACAGCCTGAATTTGATAAAGATGGGGAGCAGGAAACCAAATCGCACCCACTAAATCAGTGTTTTTAAAACCTTGGCACTTTTAAGACGTGTGAGGTTGGCTGAGGAATTCTGGGAGTTCAAGTCCATGTGAATCTTCAAGTGGCTAAGACTGAGAAACACAGTACTAGATAAGTACTAGACTAATACCTCCAGGGTGAGCTGGTGAATGCGATTCATTTCCTCCCCAAATAATTTTGTTATCGATATACTTGAGAACGTTGGCGAAGCACATGGGTGCCTGACAATTTGAGAGTGCAAATTGAGGCCCAGCTGGAAACAATTTCCAACCTCTGCAGTTCTCAGCCTGCTGATTAGAGTCCAAATATCCAGTCCAAATATCCATTCAAGAAAGACAGTAAGGGGTAGAGATGAAGGTTCTAGATTAGGAGACCCAGGTTCTAGACCCCTTGTGGAAAGCAGCCACCAATGGACATGGGGGTGCCCTGGGTTCAGATATGGAATGTGGAGATGAGACATCGCCTTGGGCGCATCAAATCAACATTAAATGGGATGCTGCTCACTTCAAATCTGGAATGTTATATCAAGAGACCTCAAGAAAGTTCACTGATGAATTCCAGCCTAACCATCTAGGACAGGGGTCTTCAAACTTGACAGTTTTAAGACCTGTGGACTTCAACTCCTAGAAGTCCTCCTCCAGTCATGTTAGCTCAGGAATTCTGGGAGTTGGAAGTCCACAAGTCTTAAAACTTTGCCAGATCTGAAGACCCATGATCTAGACAAGGAGCCTGCAACTCTCGGGCTGAGAAGATAGAGGTTGACCCACTTAGATGAAGAAGATGGAGCCTCGGAGCCCCAAAGGAGTGCCCAACCAAGGTCAAAGTCAAAACATGATCCAAGCCAGTATGGAAGAAATTGCACCAGACTGTTAGTGTTTGGGGACAAACCCCCAAGCAGAGTGTGCAGCAGCAGTCAAGCCAGGCAGCCAAATGAGAGAGGCTGGGCCCAAGAGTATACACACACTGGAGACAAAAACTGTTTGTAGTTTTAAATAGTTGTTTAATCCATTCAGAGTTTAAGCATTGTCAATCAGTCCATATGTCATTCACAAATATATCCATCCAGTAACTTAGTCCATTAACTAGTCAGTACTATGTCCTTATCTGCTTGTTGAGATATCTTCTCCTTCCGATACCTTTCTCTTGAAGACAACGCTGAGTATTCACAGGATATCAGCTCACCAAGGAAATAGTCCTTTTGTTCAGCAGAAACGGTATCCAGCACAGTAGCCAGCAAACAGTAACAAGCAGATGTTTCAAACAGGAGTAAGCAGCAGGCAGGCAGAGAGCAGAGAGCAGAGGAGGGCTGTTACGTTTCTCTCACTGCCTTTTATTGCCGCTTGTAACCGCACCCTTAATTATCTAATTACATTGCAGTTTGGTGCTTAAAGCTACAAACACTTGAACCTAGGTTTATATATTTATTCACCCAAACCTAGTTGGTGTATCAATATACCCAACACAGACCTTATCTTCATTGGATGGTGAACTTTTATTTGGATGTTGTGATTGAAAAGGGAAGAGGAGTCCCAAGCATAGGTTTGTTTTTGACAAAATTGTACTTTTGTAAAAAGAAAAAAAGGCACAGAGAGAGAGAGAAAACATATTGGAGAAAGTGAATTCTTGGAGACTGTCAGTTGAAGCCAAGTTGTCTATGGAGAGTCTCAGCCATCCAGGCCATGGTTGCCCCAGAGGTTCTCTGCTAGGTCTTCAGAGTAGCAAGAGTGCCACAGCTGCTGCCATTGCTTCCCAGGCGACATTTCTCACCTGCAGATTGAAGAGGAAGAGAAAGATCTTCGGTTCAAGGAAAGAACCTATTATATAAATTCCGAAAAACGGCCTAAATTGTCTATGGTTTAACCAGGTTT